CTATATGAATTCTTTCCCTGTTATAGGACAGTAGACTGGGTTAGAGAAAGTCTGTATTGTTAACCAAAAGAAGCAAGAGGTCTTGGAAAGAGATCCGTTGAGATATTTTTCTCTGATTTTCTGTCACCCTATACTCTATTACTAATTCATTTGATGTTGATTAATTGCTCTCAGCCTACTCAATCAATAAATTTGAGTTAGCAATGCAAATGTGGATGAAATCATTCTTTCATTTCCTTTGAAGTGAAAGTTTTTTCATATTTTAAATCTGAATCCATTATTTTATGAGAAAGACAGTTGATCATTATGTTGTGATTTGTCAGGTGTAATATTCATTGAAAATGGAAGGAACTTTAATGAAAATGAGACTGATTATATTTCATTACAAAGGCAAGAAAGGTGATGAACTTCTTGGCAATTTTCTCCTCCAGGTGTCTGCCAAGTGATAAAGGCACAATCAAAGCTTAATTTTCCAGACCTCAAGTATCTGAATTTTTCAATTATCCAGAGTTGCTGCTTTAGATCTGTTCCTTTTCTTGTCATGTTGTTTCTTAGCTTTTAAAGCTTTTTGTAAAATCTCTTGGCGTATGCTAACACTCATATGCAAAATAATGTGAGAGTAAGTTAGCAGGATCCAAGATAATGGTATGTGGATTGGTGTCAAATTTCAGTAATCCTGTTAATACTGTTTTTATCATGTTTTTACCATTCTTGCATCATTAGAAGTTATTTTGGCACATTTAGTTTGCTTAAAAAAATAGGGTCTTTAGATGGATCGACAAGTTTGGGAAGTCAAGCTGAAATGTGTCATATTTTCATAGATGTCATCATGTTTTTTTTTTTTCTCAATCATGAATAAAGATTGGAAATGTCAATTAGCTATGCTCTGACACTTTGATTTTAATAGGCTAATGTTTTTAGTTGAAGTTCAAATTATCAGGGAGATTAAATTTAAGCCTAAGGATGAGTCAAATTAGTTCAAGTTAGTGAGAAGTTTGAGTTGAAGAAGTTTGGGTTACCAGGGCTCAACCTTTATTTTGGTTCCAGTTTGTGGGAGGGATGGGAGGGTTGGTGGCCTCATGGTTAGTGCACTCAACTTAGATCAAGTGGTCTGGGTTTGAGCCCAGGATAAGGACATTGTGTTATGTTCCTGGACAAGACACTTTACTCTGACAGTGCCTCGCCCTCTTCACCCAGGAGAATAAATGAATACCAGCTGGGGGTAACTCTGTAACAGCTAGCATTCCATCCAGGGGGGGAGTAGAAATACTACTAGTCACTTCACGCTACACAAATCAGATTTAAGCACTTGTCCAATGGGCCACTTGGGTCATAAACAGACTTTACTTTACCTTTGACCAGTTTGCGGTTAATTATCTGACACCTGATAATTAAGCCTTTCCTTGAAATACAAATATTTCTAGTGTTCTTGGTTTTCTAATTTCACAGTTAATCTTTTATTCGTTTCTTTCTCTCATGCAGTGTTTGATTACCCTTTGGGGCTGCTTACAAGTATCACCATGACAACAGTGGAAGGGACTACTGGCACATCAGAGATGGAGCAGTCAGCATCTGCTTCTGTGCACAAAGTAAAAGTTGTGGCCCCATGCAACACTGGTTCTGGAGCATCATCATCCAAGCTTGGTGGAGGAACAGCAGGATTGTCAGGTCTGATCACACAGTAAATGATCAGGAACTGTATGTGGATGACTTTTGATCATTTGAGTTTATCAGTTGAGATTGATCATGGTTGATGGCTTGCAAGAATGTTTATTACAGTTTTCTAAAAGGAGATTGCTTAAACCAGAGTAGACTAAGGTACCAGTAGTTCTTTTCAATGGCAGAGACTAACTTTAGACTCATCCTTACTGCCTACAAACAATTTACAGATTTCCAGTTTATTGTGGGCCTCCTAGATTGAAATGTTTTAATTTTCTAAGATCACCTGCATATTACAATGACACGAAGATTAACTATTAATTAAAAGGTAAAAAATATTATTTGTTACACATAATTGAAAAAATAATTTGACGTCTGAAAAGCACTCAACCATGCAAGGTCGAATTCTTTAGTTTAGTATAAATAGTCCCTACTTTTGGAGCACCTCCCTTTTTTTTTCTTTCTTGAAAATTTAATTCAAGGTGAGAGATCAATTTGTCATTGTTACAGAAGGGAAAAATTTTGTGTTTTCATGAATTCATAACAGAGAAGACATCTCCCACAGAAAACAGTAAGCTGTTTGCAAACATTTTTTCATGTACATTGCAATATATTTGAAGGATAATAAACACAAAAGCCTCAATTTTGTTTGTAAATATGCTCGTATATTTGTCCATGGATATGATCAAGCTCACAGTTCTCTCAAACTTTGCACTTGGAAAACTGTTTGTAGTTTTGAACAGTGTCTCCAGACAAATATTGGTGCATATTTTCACAGCAAATAAAGAAAATTCTATATTTATTTTCTTACTTTACCTTGTACCTCAGAACTCTGTCGCTGGAAGACAGCAATGACAACAGTGAGTCTACATCATGATAATGAAAGACCTTTAGCAGAGGCATGAAGCCAATATGATGTAGGGCAAAATAACTGATCAAGAAAATTTTGATCAGTCTGAGTCCCAGAGCATCTGCCGCATTTACCACTCTTCTGGGAAAGAAGCCCTTATAACTCCGTGCTACTGTTTTGGCTTGGCAAAACATGTTCATGCGGCATGTCTTTTGACATGGTTTAAAAAAGAAGTGAAGATTCTTTATGAATTGTGCTGGCATAAAATTGATATGAAAAAAAAGGGGAAACCTTTTGCTGAGGTAATTTTTATTTCGAGGCCTTTTTCTATTGATATACATTTTTAGAGTTGATCTCATTTTACCATAATCAACATTTTTCTATTCACCACCAGATTCCTCCTTTTTATCATCATCATCATCATCATCATCATAGCTTTCATTATTATTTTCACCTCCTATACCAAACCTTACCCCCCCTTTCTATTCTACTCTCTCCTCCCCCCTACCATTTGAACTTTTGTCCCACTCTTTTCTCTTAAACCTGGTGGTAAATTAAGAGCTGATTGAAGGTGCTTGTGCCTTGTGAATCCACAGCATTTTGACCACTGTGATGATGATGAATATTGTTGTCAATTAAAGAACAGACCATTTTAAACTTCCTAGAAGTGATTGTCATGTAACCTTTCCTTATCACATCCGTACATTTTCCAGAAAAAAGGTAGTGAGAATACCCATCAGTTTTTGTGTTGATCTAGCATCATATTCTTGTAACTAGGTTAAAAGGGAATGTATAGCAGCTAGAGGGGAGAATTAGCAATCAGATCTTGGAAGTTAAAGGTGTAGCATTTACAGCGACCAAAATCTAAATTCTCATGTTCAAGGGCGTGTTGCTCCTAAATGCGGTTAACGAGGTGATTTGGACTATTTTACTGATTGAAATGACAAACCAAAGTTGACTTTTTGCACGAATCTTTATTCTTGAAAGGCAATGGACCATGAACCACAATCAAAGACAAAAATAACTATTATTCTCTCAGTCAATCAATCTATCAAATGATCGATCATAAACTGAAACAACAATACAACGAAGTTCTATCAATCTAACGAAAAGCTGCAGAATACATGATCAAAGAATCGCGTGTCAAATACTGGGCTCTTAAGTCTATAACGTGATTAACAATACAAGTAAAACAGAACAAAAGTTTCGAAACAAATTAAAAGAATTTTGGTGACTGAAACAGCCCATTGATCTAAATGATGGGCGTTTGCTGACTCACAAATTGGCACGAATTCGGCCTTTAAATCTTAAATCCAGAGAGATCATTGCAATATTTGTTTGTGTATTTTTGCCCAACACTGAAAAGGCTGGAAAGGAAAACACAAACTCACAAGGGTACACACATATCGGTCCCGCTTGTGCCAGAGGTTGAGAAAATGAAAGGGTGAAAGTTTACCAAGGCTATTCAAAACTTAGGAAGAACTGATTAAAGGGACACTAAACTTGCCTTTTAAATGCGTGTGGTGACGCTGAAAGGTCCAATTACAAAACCAATAGAAATACAGAAAAACAGATATTGTAACTATGTGGCTATCTAAGATCATTCTGAAATTAGTGAACTAATCAATAATCAATCAAAAAATGAGCCTTCTGGCTATTAAATGTCCTTAACAAAAGGATTTAAGCCTTAGAAAATAGAAACCATAGACATTACAGATATGCACTTCTAGCGAAAAGTAATTTAGAAATTTCAGTTCCAATTGCATATGTGCAAGGCTAACATAGTTTCTCTCCTTTATCCTTAGGCCAGCTGGGAAAAGACCAGAAGATAATAAAAGCCAACCCCAATAATCTGGTTCACTGTATTTGTTGAACTTTTCCTTAATTTGTTCTCCATCTCTGTGAGTGCTGCTGAACTTTGCACTTCAGCAGCTCCTGCGATAATTTTCTAGGTGGTGAATGGATTTGGAATCATTCTTGATGCTGCAATTCTTTACTGCTGGTGGACAAAATGTCTGTTTATTGGCAGAAGTGGTTCACACTTAACCACCAGTGGCTTATTGTAGTCGGCATTATGGGTAGTCTGCTCTGCAGTGATGCAACCAGGGTCAGAAAGAAGCAGTGGAAGAACTATACAAATTCCCCATATAGTTTGAATTGTGGTCCTATTCACCGACAAGTTGTTTTGCGAACAACCACTTTGCTAACTCCTCAAGTCTTCTGACTTTGGTCAATTAGAAGTTGATCAGGTTCAGTGGATAGAATCACTTAATAACCTTTTGTAGTATATCAGCTCAATGACTTATGAGACCTTAACAAAATTCCCTGAGATGTTGGGAAGAAGACCCAAGATGTTGGCAAACTGGTCATTAGGAAACCAAATTGTAGGTGAAACCTTCAGTTACACATAGTTCCAGAAATTATTGAGGTCAAAGTGAAACTGCAGCTATTTGATAGCAATGAATATACAAGCTCTCTTATTCAAATTAATATATTGTATCATAGGTATTAAGTTTGAAAGTCATGAAAATTGTAAGTGAGCCACAGATGCACATGTATATGTACCTGAGGTATTGAATGTTTGTTAACTTGTAAAAAAAAACTTGATTAAAAATAGGGTGAAGCAATTTCCAACTCTGTGTTAATCCTTTAACTGCCATGATGAGTGACCAAGACAGAATTTCTCCTTACCTTATCAGTATATCAAGCAGATGAGAATAAAGAAAACTATTGATTAGGAGATTATTAGTTTCTCCAATTCCAAATTCTCTGTACTTAACGTGTGCAATCATGAAACTTTTGACCAAAATTTTGAATATTCAGGCAGTTTTTCCAGGAATTGTTGCATAGATACAGGGTGTGGAATACTAGTCAGAAAAATCTCAACTGTTAGAAAGTCTTGAACAACTGGAAATAAATTATCATATATTTGATCTGCAGATTAATGAATGGCAATGAGAGTGATCAGCACAGTTTCAACAACAAAGCAGCATCTTCAAGAGTCTTATTATTTTGTTATGCCTTACATTTTATCATCATGGTAACAGGCAAGCCCTAATTATGTACAAAAACACTCTAGTATTTACAACAACTGAATGCAGGATATTTAATATGATATCTATATTTTTTCTATTATATAAATACCATGGCATGTCAATTGCTATCACTTTGCTCATGTTATGGGGAAATCCCACTAAACAGTATTTATGGACAGTCTCAGAAAATCCTCAATACATGTTCTCACAACTCCAGGATTTTCCTTATTGAGATAATTCATCACTGCCGAGTTAATTTCAACTAATTAAATTTAGCTGTATCAAAATTATTACACTGTTAAGTTTGCTCTTCACTTCATGCTTCTATGTGACACTATGTATAGGATGAGCTCTAAAAACCAACACTCAATTACCATTTTCCAAAATGGAACTCCCATTTCCTTAAATCAACTCCCATTTTCACAAAAACGATCTCCAATTTAGTGTAAAAGTGGATGTCCCTTTAAAACTTCCCTAGTAAGCAGCACTTCATAGCATAAAACTATGGCCACAGTGGTGTGAAATGAGGAGTGCAATCTGGCTTAACTCTCTACACCATGACATCAGTGTACATATTCTCCATACTGTTCTTGATACATTTCCTAAGGTGCTGACAAGGAGAATTTCTTTAACAATCAAGAGCTTTAGTTGGTGATCATTTCCTTTACTCTCTCAATCTTAATATGTATGACTCGGGGGTGATATTGTAAGGAGAAATTAGATACTAGTCACTCTTGGAGGTTAACTAATCTGTATAACCAGCTTGTTTCAAAACAGTTTACATGTTCTTAACACAAGACTTTGTCAGTAATAGCTTTATTTCTCAAATCAGGTGAAAAACCAGTTATAGTCCAGCTCAAATAATTACAGTCAGGCACAAAAAAAGGCCATTGTCCAACTCAACGTAGAAAACAAAAAGTGAAGTCAGTCCAGGTGAAATACTAAAAGACAAAAGTACACTGTAAATATAAAATCAGCACTCCATCAGTTTAGAA